AAGTTAATTGTCAAATATTATTTATTTGAACATTTAAAGTTTTATATTTGTGTTACGCACAAGCAAATGTATCTATAATAATTTTTATAATATAATATTATTTGAAAATTTAATATAATTACAATTTTAGAGAATAATTTAAAATTTATTTTCATGATTACAAGAATATTAATAAAGGTTGATAAAAAATTTAAGTCACCCTAAATAATTTTTTATCATCATTTTATTTATAATTTAATAAATAACCTTGATTTGATTATTAAAAGTAAAGTTATGTAAAAATAAAACAAAAAAGTGTGATATAGTTTTTTTTCTCATTCCAAAAAAATAATTTTATTCATAAAACTAAAAGATTATAGAACTTAAAAATCTCACCAAAAAGGCTCCAATGCATAAATAGAAAAACAACTGTAACAACATTTAATAATACACATAATCTAATTTCTCAAAAAAATATTACACACAAGCTAATCCTTTTGGAGTATACTATCAACAAGCATAAAATAATTTTGGCTTTTTCACTTCTATCTTTGTTAAAAAAATTAACAATATAATTTGCTACTTTGCTTCCTTAAATATATTGGCAAAATCAATAATTCCAATTTTGCTTATAATAATTAAAAAATTTATGCTCCTTTCAAGATCATAAAATTGTGTTGAATATCTAGATATAATTGCCATTTTAAATCTAATATCATATATATTCATCTAATTTTACATGTTTTTTAAAAAAATCAATATGAAAATAAAATTTGATATTAATTTTAGCAAATTTTCATAATATTAATATATTAAATTTAGAACTTAATTATATGTATATTTTCTTAGAATTGATAAAAGAGTTGAACTTATATTAAAACCAAACCATTGACATTTTTATTTCAATATTGTGTGTGTTTTTGCTATGAATTGGTAGCATATCAATATGATATCTTGAAATATGTATATATCTAACAAAGAAATTGAATTAAAAATGTCTATTTAAAAAAATATATAGAATAATATAAAAAGTTGGGTATAAGAGTTTCAATTATAGTTTTAGTATTTCTAAAATTTTAAGACTTGTTAAATGATGTAAGTGATAAATTTAATAAAATTAAGAAATTTGTTTTATGTTATATAAAATTTTTAAAAATTACAAACTAACGCCTTGACATCTTTTAAACTTTTGTTCAATGAGAACTTAGAAAATAAAATTTTCATTTTCAATTAAAATCAAAACATATTTAGAGAGGTCATAATCAACTATTTCATTTTAGATTAATTTGGCTTACAATACAATATCTGATAATCTTTGTGATTTAGGTCTCAACCAATGCATAACCGTCAAGCATGATAACATCCAAATTAATTAATCATCCTTGGTATCTAATTGTAAAACTTTGCAAATCAACGTAATTTTATTGTACAACCTCCTAAAATAAAACAAAAATCATTAAGTTTATACTAATTAATACTTCATAAAAGAAAATAATTTTTTAGCAATATGACATTTAACATATATATATATAATATCAAAATTCGCCTTTAAATTATAAATTAGAAAAAATATTTATATTAAAATATATAATTGATATTGCTATTCTAAAAATAACACCAAATAATTGCACAAACAAAAATATGAATAAAACCTCAGTAAAATTATAAAAGAATAGCAGAGAATACTACAAAATAAATTTATTATAAGATAATAGAAATAAAATTGCAGTCAAACAAAATTGAAGAATAATCAAATTCAATTTGCTTAATATTTTTTGAAAGAACATTTATATTTATATTCATATTAAGAAACATTATCATAAATGCATTAGAAAATTACTATTATTAACCGTCGAATTTAATAAGTAATAAAAAAATGAAATTAATGCAATTTTCTCTTCATAATTATAAATTCTTAATAAACTATCAACATGTCAAAAATATAAGTTATCTACATTAGATTATTTCTTTTTTTATTTAAAAGTTTAGCTTTTATATATTTATATAAGATATAAGATTTGATTTAATTTTTTATAAGTAATAAAAAGATATGGAAATATATTCACTAGTAATTAGCTTTTTATTTAGTTTCTTTTTTTATCTGTATTATTGACCAAATTGATTGTAACTTATTGATATAAGGTAAAAATATTAAATATTTAAACTATAATAAATGTAATTACTTTAGTCTAACTAATTATTTTTAAGTAATAAAAATATTACTATAAAAAATAATAAAAATATTTTAAATAAATAAAATATATTTATTAAAAACCACGTAATGATTTTTAAACTCATTCATATATAAAAAATATAAAGTATCTACATTAAATTATTTCTTTTTTATAAAAAAAATTAATTTTTATATATTTATATAAGATTTATATTTATAGAACTCAATAAATAACAAGAAGAAGTGAAGAACAAGAACAAGGCAGTTAATCAATTAAAAAAAAAAACCTTAAAATAGTAATTAACCTTTTATAGGATTCGGCAAAAAAAAAAACAAGTTTTAGAGGATAGAAAAAAATTATCTGGAAATAAATACTCCAAAAAATTAAAAAAAATTGTATAGGTAAATGTATAATTGCACGGCAGGGTTTAACCAAAACCCTTTGTTTCAGCGTGTATCTCTTTCCGTCTGATACAAAGGTTAGCTTTTTCTTCTCTCTCCGTTCTTCAAGAAGCCTCAAAATATGAGACTGGGCAACCCGTGCAACCCCGCTTGTGCTTCGGGCACGAAATCTCTCCACCGCCGTCCGATCCCAACCCATGTCCCATCAAGACACAGTGACCCAAATCACCGGCATTCTCAGCCGTAACAACTGGCAACTCCTAATGGACTCTTCTGACATACCCACCACGCTAAACCCATCTATAATCGGATCCGTTATCCATCAAAATCGAACCGTCGCTGACCCAACGCGACTTCTCGGATTCTTCCTCTGGTCTGAACGCCAAATGGGCACTACCCATCAGCAGGACTTAGACGTCTATTCTCTTCTTGCTGTTATGCTTTGTAATTCTAAGATGTTCGGCCCTGCAAACTATGTTTTGGAGCTTATGGTAAAGAATTTTAAGCTCCCTGTTGATATTTTGGGTTGTCTTCGTAGTAATTGCAGAGAATTTGATGTTAAGGTTGATGTTAAAACTATACTTTTTGATATGCTGATTACTAGTTTTAGGAAAAAGGGGTTGCTTGTTGAAGCTTCTGATGTGTTTTTAACATGTGGTTTTGAAAAAAGGCGAAACTTTTGTGCCTAGTTTGTGGTGTTGTAATGGTCTTTTGAAGGATTTGTTGAAAGGAAATAAGGTGGAGTTGTTTTGGAAGGTTTGCAATAGGATGAATGAGATAAAGATTGGTTTCGATGAGTATAGTTATGTTAATGTGATGAACTTGCATTTTAAGGTGAATAATGTTGAGGAAGCCATGAGGGTTTTTTGGGATATGGAGAAGAAGGGTTGTAGTCCTAGTGTGGTAAGTTATAATGCAGTTGTTTGCGGCTTGTGTAGAGTGGGGTGTGTTGATTATGCTATTGAGATGAAGAAAGCTATGGTCGAGAAGGGGATGGTGCCCGATCGTTATACATATATGATGCTTATTAATGGATTATGTACGGACATGAGATTGAGAGATGCTGAATTGGTTTTAGAGGAGATGATTGGTAATGGCTTGAACCCTGAATCAGTTGGTTACAATGCTCTAATTGATGGATTCATTAAACAGGATCTTGTATTAGAGGCTTTTAGAATCAAGGATAAGATGGTTGATAGTGGAATTCAGTTAGATCTTTCCACATATAATGTTCTTCTTATTGGTGTTTGTCAGTCCAGTGACATGAAGAAGGCAATAGAAGTCATGAATGAGATGGAAAGATTGGGCATCAAGCCTGATTCAAGAAGTTATGCTTCGTTGATTAAGGGGTATTGCCAAGAGGGCAACTTAGGCAGTGCTTTTAAGTTACTTGATGAGATGAGTAAAAACTTAGTACCAACAATAAAGACTCAAACTCTTTTAATTAATGAGTTGTGTCATTATGGGAATATTAATCAAGTGAATGCTGTGTTGGGCAAACTTTTTAAGGAGAGTGTAAAGCTAGATGCCTTTGTTTGCAGAATTCTTATTTGGGCTTACACTAAGGAAGATAGACCCGAAGAGGCAAGAGGGGTTTTAGAGACAATGAAGAACCAAGGGGTTCAACCTGATATATTGTGCTATAATCCACTTATAAGAGGCCTTTGCAAAGCCAGAAGGATGGTAGAAGCAAGGACATAGTTGGCTGAAATGTTGGGGAGGGGATTAAAGCCTGATGCTTACACATATGGAGCTTTCATCTCTGGGTATGGTCAGATGGGGGAGATACAGCTATCTTCTAAGTGTTTCAATGAGATGCTTTGTTGTGGCCTTGTGCCAGACGATCTAACTTACAAAGCATTGATTGATGGGCACTGCAAAAGGGGAAACATAACTGAAACATTATCTGCTTTTAGGTATTGGCTTTCACAAGGGATTCAACCAGATGTTCAAGTTTACAGTGTGCTCATAAGTTTCTTCTCTCGGAATGGAAAACTACAAGAAGCCCTGGAGATCTTCACAGAACTTTGCGAGAATGGTTTGTTTCCTGATGCTCATGCCTGCAACTTTCTCCTTAGCAGTTTCTGCAAACAAGGTAAAGTCGGAAAAGCTTTTCAACTTTATGAGGATATGTGCACAAAAGGCATTGATCTGAGTATTGCTTCATATAATGTATTGATAAATGAGCTATGCAAGGCTGACAACATTGAGAAAGCTGCAAATTTGTTTTGTTCCATCTCTGAGAAAGGTTTGGCTCCAAACAGTATGACATATTCTATAATGATAGATGGGTATTGCAGATTAGGGAATTTAACCAAGGCATTCCAGTTACTGGATGAAATGGTATTGAGTAGTAACCAACTAGATATTTACGTCTACAATGCCCCTTTTATATGGATGTTGCAAAGATGGTAAGTTCAGAAAAGGCCAGCCGCAAATTCAGGAAATGTGGAAGAAAGGCTTGGTTTCTACCCTTAACATGTGGATACAATGTTTTTGTAAGAACGGAAAGCTACAAGAAGCAAATCAACTGTTGGAAGAAATGGTAGAAAGGCAGGTCAAGCCTGACCATGAAACCTATACAACTTTAATTAGTTGGAACTGCAAAGTAAAAAATATGGAGAAAGCAAGGCAACTCTTTCTGCAGATGCAGGAAAGAAATCTAATCCCACTCACCTCAACTTTCAATTCACTTTTAAATGGTTACAGTAACGCTGGGAATAAAGATGAGGTTTTTTCTCTGTTTGAAGAGATGGTGGCCAAGGGAATTAAACCTGATGAGAAAACTTATTATGTAATGATTGATACTTACTGTAAAGAAGGGAACCTAATAGAAGCCTTGAAGTTGAGGAATGTAATTCTGGACAGTGGTATGCCAATGAGTGTGACTGCCTATGTTTCTCTAATAGAAGCCCTGTGTAAAAAGGAAGATATTTCTGAATCATTGATTTTGCTTAATGAAGTAGGAGAGTCTGGACTCAGACTCAGTACTGCCAGATGTAGTTCTATAGCTTCCAATTTTAACAGAGCAGGTGATATGGACAAAGCCACATAAGCATTGGAGCAGATGGTGCAGTTTGGTTGGGTTTCAAACACCACGTCTTTAGCAGATTTAGTTGATCGGAAATGATATTGGCACAACTCTCAAAGCAAATAAGTCAAGAGGTTTCAGATTCCAGTCAACTTCAATTTAATAATTGATAATTTGTCTGCACCATATCTATAACTTGTATTCTTTTTGATAAGCAGCGGCATTGAAAGCAAACCTCAAATGGGGCTAGCTGTTCTATTTCCATTGAATGGCTGCTTGTGTTCTTTGTGACAAGCAGTGGCATTGAAAGCAAATCTCAAATGGGGCTAGCTGTTCCATTTCCATTGAATGGCTGCTTAATATGATTGATTCTCCTAGCTGGTGGCAAATTTGGACTTGTGAAGGTGATGAAAACTTATGTTTCGTAAAACTCTATTTCTATTTTGGAAAGTCTCCTTAGATGAAAATTGTTGCATGGCCATATTTCTTACTCTATTTCTATTTTGGAAAGTCTCCTTAGATGACAATTGTTGCATGACCATATTTACTAGTAACTGAGATCTTCATTTCTCTGGTTAAGGTTTTCTTGTGCGTGAGGCCCACAAAAAGAAGAAAAAAAAAGGGTATAAAGTGCCTGTTTGGGTTGCATGAAAAGCCATACTTGAGCTCAACTGTTACTCTTCTGCAGGTGGTCCAGGTAATTGTTTATTCACTATGCAATTATTTGCATTGCTCATCTGTATCTCTTGCAGATGATTGCACAAGTTGTTGTTTCCCCATCTATCTGGGTAAACCAGAAAGGGCTTGTTAGGATTTTAGTCTCTCGAACAAATTACCAAGTTTTTCAAGTTCATTTTCTTTGGATACAGAACTATTTGGAAAAACAAAACATATTTGACTTGTTCATTTTGTTGTTTGTGATAAATTATAAAAAAAAGAACTTAAAAGTTCAGGTATTTATGTGGACTAGTTTCTTTAGCGTTTTTAGAGCGTTGGACTATTGGTAGTCACTATGTACCCTCCATTCTTTGACAGATTTGATAGAGGAAAGAAAAACACGATGGCGTACCGACTTATGAAAGCCAGGTTCAAGGCTTGTTGCTGCACAAGTCAAACCTGATCTTTGGCATAGGCTGTGCTGGTGGAGGTGGAATAGTAAAGGTATTTGATGCCATAACTGAAGAATCCCATAACTTGTTTTAATCCCGTGAATTACAAAATTGTCTTCCAGATTCTTGAACAGAGAACTGAAGAATATAATTCAAGAATTTGTTGTCTATTTATGTCTGGATTTACAGAGTTAGAAATTTTGCCACAAATATCAATACTGCTAGCCATAAATTTTTCAGATATCCCTGGAAATGTAATCTGTATATTTTGTATTGACTTCTTTTCTCACTGGGTACTCTTTAAGACAAGCTTGCTTGAAATGGTAAATACTGCAAAGAAGGGAAGCCTAAGCTATCCCCATTCTTTTAAATGGCAAACCTATATCTGAAACATAAACTATTTTTATGGTCAAGTGTTTAGTGCGCTTCTTTGAAAAGAAAATTATGGCAGCATATGCCAATAATAATTAAAAAAAGATCCCTTCCGAGGATATTGTCTGGACTAGCAATAAATATTCATATGCAGATAGGAAATGTCTATTTGCACTTGCAATTTCAGACAAAGTGGCCAAAAAACAAAAGAAACTATAAGAACTGCAGTATTTTGACTTATGTGAGAGAGAATGAAGCATGTATTTTATGCTATTTGCGCATGTTTGATGCCATACCCTGCTGACCATATGACTGGCTAGAGAGCATAAACCACTAGCTCTACCAATGGAAAACTACCATGGTTGCAGGCTTCGACAAGAATGAAAAAACAAAAAGAAAAGAAAAAGAGATGAACATGTCTATTATTAAACTGAAATTTTCCTTTTTAACCAGTCAAAACATCTCTTATTGCACAACTATAAATTTCCCTAGCAGGAAGGAATTTCCCTTTCATTGTTTGGCATATTATATCATTATTTTGTGCTTATATGATACTCAAATGGTTTCACCCTCAAATATTTGAGGAAAAAATTACACATAAGAATTAATTTGGTGCAAATAAGACAATTAAATGACTGATAAATGAGCATATAGGTGAAAGAAATCCTTTGCCTTGTGAGATTAAAATCATATCATCTTCTCGAAATTGTCTAGCTTCTCCACCCTTTGCATTGACCTAAGAAAAAGTGTAAAGAAAACTCCTGTATTTGGACAAATTAAACCCTTTTGTCAGTCATGGAGATGATATCAGGTCAGTTCCACATGTATAGAACCAATTTCCTAGTTTGAAGGCTACAAGGAGAGAGCATGTCACCTGCTCCGAGGAATGATCCGTTAGCAATAATTTGGCTGCCTTGACTGCTGAAGGTAACACCTAGGTTTAGCAGGGTACCTCCTAGCACAGTGTAAATGGTCGCCATTTGCAGTATTGTTGCCTTCCGCGCTGCTCTCTCAGACTGCCATGCAGTTTTTGCATTAAAAATTAACAGAAGTGAAAGAAAAAAAATGAGAACAGGAAGATTCAAGTGTTGCAAAGCATAGTCTACTTGAATTTTCTCTGCTCCAAGCAGAAATGGAATGTAATTTTCACAATACACAGTCCCTAACCTCTAGCACCCGGACACGGAGTCTCACATCTCCTGATTCAAGTTGTTTCACAAATTCTTCTATTCGCTGAACTCTGTATGGCATAGACATTGTGTAGGACCTGGCCTGAAATATACACAGATACCAATGTTATCAGTATCCAAAATGACTAATAAAATAAAAGGGTATTTATATTTATTTCAAAGCAAGTAAACTTTCTATTTAGTAACAACTCAAGGAACTGAAGGGATTGGAGAAATGCGGTAAACAGTGCAGTACATCATCAGCTTGTTTCCTTATCTCCAGCACCAGTTGCGTCCCAGTTCGCTGCCTTTGTCTAATATCTAGAAGTTCCTGTAGGAAGCATAAAATATTACCTCTAAACATTTTCAAACAAATTGCCAATGTATTGCAAGCTTCATTGAGAGAAAACTATGATAATCTAGATAGAACCTGTGCATAAGGTGCAGCAATCTTCGCAAAGGAGAAATTTGGATCAAGTATGTAGCCAATACCTGCAAAGAATTATGATCTTCAAAACAGAGCCGCAGAGCAACAAATTTGTTTTTTTTCATATAATTTTCCTAGTGAATAAGTTCAAATATTATGAGGACTAATGAGACATACCTTCAAGTGTGGAAAATGCCCTCAAAACAAAGGTAAATGTGGATGGGAACCGAAATGGTTGATCCTGAGCTATTGCAAACAAATCCTGCAGAAAAAAAGTATATATAGAAACAAAAACCTCATCTTACAACTTATACATTATGGAAGGGTTATTTGATAGAAGAAAACAACAGATCATACCATGCTTTACTCTTTTTGACAATACAATCAGTTATTTATGATTAAATATTACAAACGCACCCACATCAATATATTGACCTTTAAACTGAATTTCATGTTCCAAGCGTTAGTCTTCCAAAGTTTGGAGAAAAGATACAGGATACTTGTTATCAGATTAATCAAATTCGAAATTGAAACTCTTCAAATTGACATATGGTTTGGTGTAACTGGGAAAATAATGACATTGTCTATGAGCAATCTGTAAGCAAGCAAGCCATCATTTAATATTCTTTTTTTTTTTTTTTTGTTTCTCTTTTCCTACTTGATTGACATAGCACCTCTCTGGCTTAGATGTTAAATGAAAATATTAACTTTTGCACACCTCTCCTATTGCAGCCAAAGTAGTCTCCTGATCTGGCCTCTGGTCCAATAAATTGTCCAAGAAGAATTGCACAGATCTCCTCACCTAGCATAGAATGAAAATAAACATTAAGAAAGGTAAAATAAATGTCTCGTTAATCCATATTTTCCTTCAAATTTTTTATATGTAGGGCATGATGGCTGACTGAGGACAAATCTCCTGTGGGTTGAAGTGCTCCAAGATCTATGAGGCTCTGCATAACCTGCATGATTTTTTCCAGTCAGTTTTGGTGACAAAGGAAATATTGCTCTTCTAGATACAGGATCTATAGATGCATCACCTCAAAATAAGCTAAGAGAACTATTAATAAGGCTTAAGTCTAGTAACAACACAAAAAAGTCGCAGTGATGTCATTCCAACTTATATAAACCATGAGTATGGAGTAAGGATTGACCACAAGATGAGGGAAAGCCCCCAAATTTTTAATTCTATAAGTTGAATATGCCCAAAAAATGGATGATGGTACTGTTTTGTCACTTCATTCAATTGCAATAAAGGGAATTATAAAAGAATAAAGTATTTCAAATTCAACTTCATATTTTTCACTACTTCTATGGTTTAGGGGTTGAGGGATGGGAATGAATGTTTCAATGTCTTTTTTTTTTATACTGCTCCATGATTCTCCAGGATTTCCAAGTTAAAATCCTGGCAATCAAATCTGCAGATTACTACATAGTTTTATTTTATTTGCAGCAGTGGAGTCCACAGCTACTGCCCCCTTGTAACTCCCCATATGTGCCAAAAAAAAAGTCCACCGCTTGTGCTGGGTTGGTTTTAGGGTATAATGCAAGTGGTTACTTCTAACTGTGATAAAACTTTCATAATCATTGTGAAAAACTTGGACTAGAAAAGGAAATATTTCAAAGCAGCAGTATCATGAGTGGAAAGCATACCTTCTTTGCATCTTTCTCATATACAGCATAGAAAAGTTCCAGCAATCTCTCACGAGTAAACGATTTGATCTCCCCCATCATGCCAAAATCATAATATATGATTGCTTCATCCACATCAATAGCAAGATTTCCAGGATGTGGATCCGCATGAAAGAAGCCCGTTTTCAAAATCTGTATTTATAACAAAATCCAGTGAAGAGCATGTTGGTTGTCATTATATTGGGAGTTTGGATTTTGGAATAAGTAATCACAGAGTCACTTGAGATAGATCAATATTACTTGCCTGAATCAAGTATGCTTCAATGGCATGTGATGAAATTCGAGAACGACTATATCCCCGAGAATCCAGTGCATCCAATTGGTTGATTTTAATTCCTGATATGGAAGTAACAATGCCATATTAACTATAGCCAGAACAAACTCATTGCAACAGTCTTTTAAAATTTTCAGCAGCACAATAATAATACTTGCTAGCATCCTGAATGAAATCAAATGCACTGAATTAGAAGGAAACCTGGTACATACTCCAACGTCAACACTTTTGTAGCAGTGTAATCCCAAAACACCATCTGCAAAGGCAGAAAGCCTTCAAGGTAAGTAAAATTACAAATTAAGTAGTTTATTTCCATGAACAAGGTGAAAGACTTAAATGATGAGATTAAGATAACACGAAAAAGAAAATGAATAAGCATATTAATATCTAGAAGCATGATAGCATGAAACATACAGGCACGCGGACCCACTTTACATTTCGAAAATCTCGGCGAAACCTATCAGCATTTTTCCCTTCATTTATATAATCAATTTCTTGATACAAAATCCTGAAATCAACGAAAAGGTGACTTCTGAGGTTCTCTCATGTTTGTTTTAATTTACCTATAGTTTTGTATCGTAATAACTATTATAAAAACTATTATATGCTTACTACTTACGTTGAGCATTCCTCGTATATACCAACCCAATCTCTTGTTGGACCACCAAAAGTTTCACTATTTTGAAAATACTCTGCAATTAGCTTTAGGTTTCCTGTGAAGGAGCAGAAATAAAAGAAGCTACTGAGTACCGGTAATATACACAAAGATCCACACTGCTAGATTTTGAACCATACAATTAGCCAGAACCAGTTCTGTAGTAAACACAAAGCAATCAATTTGACAAAAAGTTGACTGGATGCATAAAGAACAAAAGTGTGACGGAAAAATTTTGTTAATTCCCTTTCCAAAAAAAATGTTAAACTACAAGTACATAAAAATACATATTAGGCTACAATGCTTACTATTTCTATCAGGCTCTAGTTTCCCACTATCTATCTGCTTCTTAGGTAAAAATATAAGATACAAAAACAGGTGGATTCAAAATTGTCAAAGCAAGTTGCACCAGTGATTGCTTGCTTTATACATGTATGTGTATTTTCGAGAAATGAACATATTCTGCATACTTTTAAGAAAAGCAAAATGCCTAAAGAACGGCAAAAAGCGTTTTAGAAGTTATAATTAAGCACACTATCATTAAGCTAAGATTGACAGAAAAGGTGTATTACTTACGTAAATCGATGTCAAAAAGCTTCTTAAGACCAGGTCTTTGGACCTTGACAACAACTTTCTCCCCATTATGCAGAATAGCGCGATGTACCTAAACAAAGAATGCTTCAAACTTCAGATCCCAGAGAGGTATCTCTGCCTAGCATTGATTACTATATTATTAAACCAGATAATCCTTTTTCAGGTATAACTTCAATATTCACCATGCAGAAGGAACAGAACTGCAAACTGATGTATGCAAGAACTAGATCTGGAGGTTCTCTCTAGGTTTTAACAACAGTCCATATCTATTTTAAATTGCTATTTACTTACTTCCTGTAAATTCATTTCAGTTTATATTTTCCTAAATCTATAGGAAAAAGAATCTTAGAATTTTTAGGGCTTGAACAGAAAATTTATGAAAAATAAGAATTAAACAAACACCTGACCAAGGCTAGCTGCAGCAATTGGCTGGTCCTCAAATTCCTTAAATAGTACATCTATGGGAGCTCCCAGTTCACTCTCAATGAAGCGTCTTGCTTTCTTTGGTGAGAATGCAGGGACTTTATCCTGGATAATGATACCAATGATACATGAGAAACATAAAATTTACAGGAGAGAAGAGAACTTGGAACTTCAATTGCTTTATAAAGAAGAAACATAATGCAATGACAGAAAGCCTCTTCCAAGTTAATAAAGAAAAAGAAAGTAAGAGTACCTGCAATTTGGCAAGCTCGTCCACAAATTCACGTGGAAATAGATCTGACCTGGTTGAAGATAACTGTCCAAGTTTAATAAAAGTAGGACCAAGTTGCAATACACTCTCTCGTAGCCATGAGGCAGTCTTTATCCTCCTCTTTTTCTGAAGGAGATAAACAAAATCTATAAGAACCAAAAGCAAGACAAATGATACAGCTCTAAAGAAGCAGCAAAGATGGGGATTAAGGACATTAGTCAAGTAAGAACTAATAGACATTCCACTCTACAAGCTATAATCGGAGGCATATGCTTCAACAGACCAGAAAGGTCACCTGCTTATCTTCTGCGAAACCTCCCAGATATGCCCATTTCGCATTGTCCAACAGAACACGGATACGTAAAGAAAGAACAAAAGACCAAACATCTATAGTCCTTTGTAAGGTACTATAATTCTCATTGGCCCAACTGAAATTTTCATCTGAAGGCAGAACCTTTAACTCCTCTAATGGTGGAAGTTCTTTAGACACTCTAGATTTAGGTGTCTTCACTAAGGTTGGACCATTATCTCTCCTAATTATGCTAGCACCATTTACAACATGCTTTACACCATTCACCTTCTCCACTTTACTAGTGGCTGGAGCCTTTCTTTTCACTACCTCACCGGCAGGCACCATTTTAACAGCTCGCCCATTGATTCCTACTTTTGGGGCTGATTCAGTTTGCTGCATTTTCACTTGAAACCTGAACGATTTATCTGCCATGGGCAGATTATGTATTTGCCTCTCAAACTTTGCAAACTGATTCGAAATTGAGCTTGAAAAACTGAGAGTATCCATTGTTCTTCCTTGATTCATCAATTCACAGTTGGGCAAATAAAAACTCTGTGAAGCCAGTATTGCTGCCATGTTAGCAGCAGACACCTATAGTTTTGATAGTAATTCAAAATATGAGAAGTAGGAAACAAGCAAGAAGGATAATCAAACTGAAGTATTAAATAATTGACTAAAGTATGGCTTTAAAGCTAAGCAGAACAATTAACTTAGTAGGCACATAATCAATTCCAGCTGTACCATATGAAGAACCTTTTTCTTTTTTTTTTTTTTTATAAGAAAAAAAAACAGATTTTACAGCCAAATACTGAAGCCTAATGACAAATAAGAACAGAACCACATAAAACCTCATAATATTAATCAATATGGAAACCACTACCCAACAAAATAGCAACATATATTTGAATTATGAATCAAAAACAAGGAAACAAGATTATCAAGGAAAGAAAATTTGCAGATGGAAGAACAGCTGAATCACAAACAACATAAATTAATGTTGGTATAAACAACTAAGTCAACAAAATCCCAAATGCTATTAATTCAAAACAACAAACAATAATATAATCTTAACATAAAGAGAAAAAAAATTGGGTTTTCAAGAAAAGACCCACCAGCAAAGAAGAAGATATTAAGACCTTGAGTTCTCGAGTATGGAGCAATGATATTTATTGTGTTTTCAGGAGAAAAAAAAAGGGATTGAAAAAATAAAAGACCCTGAATAGAAAACAAAAGAAGAAACAAACAACGTCGCTGCTTGAAACAGCAGTAGAGTGTCGACGTGGCTTTCCTTCGTTTTCCAAAAATTCAAGGTGTTGAAAGGCAGAATTTTAGACTTGCAAGAAAGTATGGCTCTGATTTTTTCTTTTTCTGGTTTCTGAGGCTTTTGTCTGTTTAAAGACAAAAATAACAAAACAGCGCATAGAATCTTACAACATCAACTGCCGGACTGCCATCCTTCAGTTTCTTGGTTGCTGTTTTACTTTGGACCTTTAATTATTAATTTTCCATAATATGGGGCTGCATATACGGTATGGTCCAAAAATCAATTTTGGATTTTTCTTTATTTTTCAGAGTTTACTTGAATGGGAGTTAGGTGAAGTTCCACAGTTCTATGTATATTATTCTATTAATCAAATTTTTACAAGTTCAACAATAAAGCGCAATTAGATGAAAATTTTTTTCACTGTGCTATGGAAGGAACCATTAATATTAAAGCTTAATTTTTAATCGAATTTAATGTTACTAATTAACAGCAATAAAATTACAAAAAATATATAATAAAAGTAATTAAAAATTAGTATATAAAAATAATATTATATTAGTCATTTATCTTCCCAAATTATTAAGATTAAATCCCACTTTTACATTTTTTTCTTAATTTTTTGTTTTACATGCACTTAAAAAATAGCATAAGGATTAAACAGCTTTTAAACAAAAATTTAATAAGTATTTAAATCTTAATATTTTATTACAATTAATCAAATGTTGAATATTTTATTTTGAATCAATTGAATATTTAAATATTTATTTTCGCCCAATTAAATCATTAATTGGATGAAAAAAGTTAATCATTTTTCTCTAACAAAAGATTAAATGATGAAAATAGATATTTGAAGATTTAATCGATTAAAAAAATTAATAACTTAAATAATTATTAAATTTTAGTTCCATAACTATTTTATCCTTATACTTTAAAAATCATGGAAAAAACACTTCTCATCAAAAAAGAAAAAATTAAATTTTATATTGAAAATTAATCCTTCAACTTTTTCTCTCTTTCACTCACACAATGGGTGTGTCACAAAATTATAGTTATTAAAAGAAAATGTTTACGTCTTAGTTACAGTTTCAGACCAATTTATAATACAATTAGGCCATTAAAAACTAAAATTATGTCCATTTATATAATTTATTAAAATTAAAATATTTGGTAGAGGGTTAAATGTATAGAGACAATTAGACTGTGTAAAAAATATTGAGATAGGTAAATTTTAATACATGCAACTCAGTTATAACCCTTTTCTTTATTTTAAAATTATAATCACTTTTATTAAAAAAAAAAAAAGAATGGGATAAATTCATTTTTATAAGTTCAATTGAAAATATTTTTTGTCGTTAAAAGTGAATCAATGCAAAAATTCTTTGAGAGGTGAAATCATTTGAAATTTATGGTTTAGAGATAAAATAATTAAATATTTATTCAATTATTTATTTTAACAAAAATAATTTATTTTTTTATTTTCAATATAACATCATTTTTAGACATTGTAATTACAATAAAATTTTCAATAATGTCAAACACTTCAAAATATTAAATCATAGTTTCTCACAATAACTTTTTTATTATAAATATTTTTTAAATACATTTACTTTAAACTAAGTTTTATCCAATTGTATCATCAATGCTAAACTGATTAAGTTTTAAAAATGATTAAATAAACTAATTAAATTAAATTTTGAATAAAAAATTAGTACAAAATTAGTTGGGGCAGCAACATAACTTTGATAGCCTTAATTTAATGGTAATTAAACCATCAATCCTAATCTGTGATATAGGCTAGCTAATCGGAAAACTTTCATAGGCTAATGGATGGTTAGATTGATTACTAGTATTACCCTAAAGGGGCTAGTTTCAACTTTCGATAGATCAAAGGAATTTTCATTTGTTTGACTTTTGAAGACAAAATTGCTGTGTTTGACTTGCAACAGAAATCTAATTATTTATTTATATAAAAAAAGTATCTATTAAATTATTTATACATATTAATCCCGTTGGTAAAAAGTAATAATTTTTCTTGTCAATAAAAATTCAATCCTTATAAAAAGCACAACAAGATTAAAATTTAAAATGTATTTTTGGTCCATATGAAAAGCACTAATCATAGTATCAACATATATATAATTAAATATTATTATTTATTATTCTCATATATTAAATTTAATTTTGTTAATACTTGAACTTGAAAGAGATTGAACAATGATAAATAAAATAAAGAGTTTAACATTGTATTAATAAATCACTTTTGTGGTTGGCTATTGATAGTATATATTACGAAATAATTTCTAAATTTAAACGGATGAAATATCGTACATTAAAGAGAAGTTAAATCTTAGCATTACTTCCAATATAAAATCTCCGGCCACTTCTCCACAACATTTAATAATTATACGGTGAGCTTAATAAACAGTTTATTTTTATTCAACTTACTTAGCGAATGGCTGCAGGGTAGACGACGTGGGGTTGCAACCGTGGCTTTGCAACAGCAAGCGCAACGGTTTCGCCAGAAAGAGATCTCCCTTTCCTTCGCTAAGATCAATGCTTCCCTGATTAGGTGGGATGCTCCAATTGAAACCTTGCAGAAGCCTCGCAAACAGCATGGTAGTCATTGAACTTCCAAGCATCACTCCCATGCACCCTCTCCTTCCTGTGCTGAATGATATGAACAGAAAATCTGGCTCTGCAAGCACCAGTTCTTTACCTCTATAACCATGGAGGTGGCGTTCTAGCTTGAATTTGCGTGGCTTATCCCAAACTTTAGGGTTCTGCCCATGTCCTACCCGGCTAAGGAGCACATGACTACCCTTGGGGATGAAGTAGTTGGCCACTGTTGTATCGGCCACGGACATATGAGGAAGATTATATATATATTATAAAGTTAAGCATTTATGACAAAATTAGCAAATTAAAAGATAAAACTTACATGAAATTTTTTAGATAAAGTTTGTGAAACTTTTTAAAAAAAATGATTTAATAAAAATTTTAATAAAAAATCTAAATTGATAGATTGATAGAATTCAATGCAAAGATCAATAATATGTAAAAAAAATTAAAAATATTAAAAATTAAAAATATTATTTATAATTTAAATTTAATAGATACTTATTTAACGGTAAAAATGTTATCAATATTTTTTTATTAAAAATGTTCATCTAAATATATATATATATATATTAAATTTTTCAAAATTTGCATACTTAAACTATGAAATGAGATTTTTTAATTTATTAGTTTTGATTTTCAATTTTAGTTTTTATTATATAAAAAACTTTACAAACTTCACTTATAGTACTTAATCTAAGTTTTTTCCCAAATTAAATTATCATGGTCTGCTGCCAATAATATTAATTGAGTTAGTAAGAATAGGATAATTCATTTGTGAGATTTAAATTTAATTCTCATTATCAACGATTTCTTTTGATGCATAACTTATAAGTTTTTCTTGAAATCTATAGCATAACAAATCCTAAAATGGGGTAATCTCCTCTCACTTAAAATTTTTTTATACAAAAATTTATCATAGCTTTAATAAGTGATGTGCTCTTTCTATGACAAAAAACCAAAGCTGAGAAAAGTTTTGATTAAATTTCCAGTGAAATTCATATACTCTTATTTTTTTAACTAAATATAAATAAAAAATTATTTTTTTGATATTTAAAATGATTAAGATCTGAATTTTGGTTATTAAAATTAAAAATATAATATTTTATCAATAAATTAAATAATTATTAAAAAATTATTAATAGCAACAAGTTGATAAATTTTATCAACTAATTCATAAACATAATAACAATGCTTACTTAAAAGGTAGTAAAGTTATCATAATTAATGAAACAATAGTACATAATTCACTGATAATAATATATAAAATCAATACATTAATAATATATTAAATATAAATTATTTATAATATAATAATTGATAATTATTGTAATAGTTAGTAAAATAAAAGTTTCATGATGCCACTCAATTAATCTTTCATTTTCTAGACAAATTGAAGATTTAGGTTACGTGCTAGTGTCACGGGTCGAGACTTAAACTTTGAACTTGTGAGGCTTTGAGATCCGAACATCCATTTATCCGACGTCTCAGATCAATTTACCTGCTACGGTTCACACATTTGTGTGGTATTATCCGTTCTGATCCTCTTGGCCTCACAGTTTTGTCCTACAAAAGACGCCTCACAAGACGTTCTTTTTATATTCAATGAGAGATTCGAGACTCCTTCTTAAATCCATGACATTCTCCTCCATCCAACCTCGTGATATCCTCGTCAAGGAGGCTGACCATCCTGTCCACCTCCCTCGAGGCATTTGGCATAGATCGAACGGTTTACGGCTAGCTTTGATACCACTTATCACGGGTCGAGGCTTAAGCTCCGAACCTGCGCGGCTTCGGGACTCTGGCATCCACTCATCCAGCTCTCAGATTAGCCTACTTGCCACGGTTCATACCTTTGTAAGGTATTATCTGCTTTGATCCCCTGATCTCATGATTTTGTCCTACAAAAGACGTCTTACAATAAAGAAATAGTTTGAACCCTTATATACCCCAATGACTTTCTTTTCATATTTGATGTGAGATTCATGACTCCTCCTTAGATTCGACTCTCAGATTAGCTTACTTATCACGGTTCACACCTTTGTAAGGTATTGTCTGCTTTGGTCCCTTTGATCTCATGGTTTTGTCCTACAAAAAATGTCTCACAAGAAAAAAATAGTGTGAACCCTTATATACCCAAATGACCTTTCTTTTATATTTGATGTGAGATTCATGACTCTTCCTTAAATCCGTGATATTTTGGTTTCAAACTTGTTGGCCGACTGAAAGATTAGGTTATTAAAGCTATAATGCTAGGTGTCAGACACTGGTTTGCTAAAATAAAAATAATGGTGGAAACAATTGCAATATTAAATCTACCAATGGTATAATAAATAAAAATTGAATGTACCAAGGATTAAAAATATTGTAATTTTGATTCACATAAAGATAATTAATCACTCAAATCTTGCCATATAAAATGGTATTTATATGAAATTAAAATTTAGCTTAATTAATTTTTGCAATTATTTTTTAAAAATGATATAAAAAAATTTAAAATTATTTTTTCTATTCTCATACTGTAATTTTTTATTTGCAGTTTTCGATCAAATTGTTTTTAGTAAAAAAATTCCCATGTTTTTTTTTGTTATTTATTAATTAAATTAATAAATAGTGGTCAACGTTAAGCTCTAATTGCATATAAAGTTGTTTCAATTATTTTTTTAAAATAAAGTCGTTT